AAAAAAAAAAAAAAAAGAAGTTTCGTCTGGTCTTCCAGTCCACTGGCCTGCCAGGAGAAGTTCAAGGCCTTCAGTTTCAATTTGTGTTAGCATTATCAGTATGCCAAACGTGCCTACCGTCCCTCAAAACACACCCTGTCATTCTCTCTAGAGGAACCTGACTGATACCGTCCCCAAGGACTGAACCACTCTTGGTGCACTGATGACGTCAACTGAGTAACCACTGCTGGAGGCGCTGGACCAGGTAAGAAGGGGCTGGACCATGAAGTTCTGTGTTTAGAGCAGTGCTTGGAACACGTCCCCTCCTTCCTCCTAGGGCTACTGGCTCTCCCGACAGAGCCTAGGTAGTCCCCAAAAGCTCAGTGAGGTGATGTGGACCCTCATTCCTCAGCACAGAGCAACTGCACAGATGTCACCCCAGAGCTTCATGGAAACACAGAGACTTGAGCCTCACCTCCCGCCAGCTGAACCAGAACTGCGTCTTCTCGGGATTCCTAGACTCTTAAACACACACAGCCTTTGAGCAGCGCTGGCCTTGAAGGCTGCTCTATTTTCCAGGCTGGACGCTTAACTAAATGGTTTGGCTTCCTGATGGGACTCTAACCAACTCTGAGCATCTGGACAAAACCAATAAGGAGATGGACGTATTTAGAACTAGCCGATAGGTTACATTAATGAGGCTGTGCGTGCTGAAACTGCCGTGAAGGTTCGCTGTGTACCAGGCACTGGAGAAGGCACACTGCATGTTAACTATTCAACCCTCCCATGAAACCTCTGAGGAAGGTACTTTTCGTAGCTCCATTCTACGGCTGACAAAGCTCAAGTTCAGAGATGTAACTTTCCCAAGGTCACAAAGCAAATAAATAGTTGAGTGGAGATTTAAACTCAGGCAAAATACAGTCATATTTTGCCTCTCTGAGGCACAGTTTTCATAATGTTATGCCGGTTGTATAAGACAAGTTCTCACAGGACAGAGGGAAGTTCTGGCTGAAAGAAAACTGCAGAAGGGAGGCAAGTTTTGAAATATTCTACGGAGGACAGTGGGAATTTGGTGGGCCTATGAAACTGAAGTGCCTTCCAAAGGTGAGAAGACTGCTCTTATTGTTAAGATGGAACGTCCCAGCCAACCATGAGCCTCTGTCTCCTCAGAATTCCTCACTCTATCCCACCTTTTCACCTGTTTACCAGGTTCCTCCTGGTGTACATCATCTTTCAGATCTCAGTCTGCTGAGCCCCCCCGAACTATGGTGGGTTTTCCTGACTAACTTATAGTTAGTTATCATGAGAGCGCTCTCACTGAGGCAGGATCTGTGCCTGGCTCTATGTGCTTGGCAACATCTGGGTTCTGGCCTAGTGTCTTACACAAAGCCAGGACTCACACTCAGAGGCTGCGAGGCAGAGACCATCTACAGGTCTCAGGCATGAGCACCTACTACTCCACTCACGAGAGTCAGAAGTAGGTCTGAAGCAGAAAAACACCCTCCGCTTAATTAACAACACACATGAATGCTGCAGAGCCTGCAGAGGCTGGCTTTATTAATTTCAACTCACTCCTCACTGGAAGCCACAATGAACACAGACAGACGGCTGTTTATAATCCTAACGGTGCTGACGACTCCTACAAGGTTGCACTGTTCTCCCCAAAGCATAAATCAGAAGAATAAGCTAGATGGTGGGTTTAAATGAAAAATGTGGAAACAATCCAATGATCCTGTGATTTCTCAAAGAATCTGGATCAGTCTAGCTATCATTAAGGCTGAGCATAGTGAACTGAAACACCAGGAATGTTGGCCTGGTGGGGGAAAATCCTCCTGAATTATGTAAGAGATGCAGCCAGGTTCTGCAAGCAAATTCTCTTTTCAATATGAAAACCCTCTTTCAGAGGCTGGGTGCTGTTTTGATAAAGGATTAGTTTAGTGGTCAGAGAAAGGATCCATTCCCGTTCACAGCCCTACCTGTGTTTGCTCAGGAGCCACTGCAGACCCTTTATCCCAGGCTGCTTGACTCCCAAGGTGTTTAAATGAAGACCTCTCCTTTCCAAATCAGGCTGTAATTCATCAGAGCTGCAATTCTTCTCCCTACCATCCAGTTCCATGTCCATCCGCTTGTTTACCAAGTCTCAATCGGCCTTTTTAGCCCCAATATAAATACTTCTACAACGGCCAAGGATTTCTAAATACAAGTGAGACTTCAGAACGTGGCTCTTTCTTACCGAAAGATGTTATCAGACCCCAACATACACAGACAGGCTCCTGTGAAACACTCAAAACCCAACGGGAAGCGGAGCTTTGGGAGAATCACAAATGTAGCCTCGTGTCTTCCTGGCGTAGGTTTCTCCGATCCCCTGCCACAGCCAAGGGGCTGCTGGGAGTAGCTCAGTTCCCCTGCAATTCCAGATTGCCCCCCAACAAGAGCAAGCTGCAGCCTGTGGACTGACTCAAAGTCAGGAGGACTTGATTCCAGAGAGCAAGATTTCCGGTCAAAGAGCGAGCAGAGCTACAGCTGCTGTTTGAGATGTCTGAGCTCTGCTTGCTCATATACCAAAATTTCAGGAAATCAGAGCATTCCTCCCACACTGATTGACAACATTCCCTGCTAAACCGGAGGCCCCTAAAGAGAAATCAGTTGGCTGGGCGGTGGTGGCGCAGGCCTTTAATCCCAGCACTCAGGAGGCAGAGGCAGGCAGATCTCTGAGAGTTTGAGGCCAGCCTGGGCTACAGAGCGAGTTTCAGGACAGCCAGGGCTACACAGAGAAACCCTGTCTCAAAAAAAAAAAAAAAAGCGAATTTCCCTGTCTTTTGATACGCCACTCCACATGTTACACACACCTGGTCCACCTCACAAACTGACAGCACCTGCTGGTTCATGAGGGCATTTGTGCTTTACTGTCCTGGTGGGAACTCTTCTAAAAGTCTCTGTCCTTCCTGGTCTCCTTTTTTAAAATTCTAAAAAGTAACTTAAGCTTCTCATCAAAATTTCAGGCTGTGACTCAGAAACGGCCCAATTTTATCAAGTAGAAATGCCCCCCCCCCAGCCCCATGCGGGTTATTCGGGTAGTCAGCAGCATCAAATGACTAGGCTTTTTGAGGGTTTGTTTTGTTCTATATTGTTTTCTTGTGAGTGGGGTGCCCATACATGTGGAAACCAAATTCAAGTGTCGTTCTGAATGCCGTCCGTCTTATTTTTGAGCCTGGCCTCGTTGACCTGAGCTTATCCATTAGGCTGGGCCTGCTAGCCAGTAAGCCTCAGGGAACTGCCAGTCACTGTCTCCGCGATGCTGGGACTACAGTGCATGCCGCCATGCCCAGCCGGTTTTCCATGGTTTCTGGGGACTGAACTCAGGTCCTCGCACTTGCGAGGCAAACACTTTCCTGACTCAGCTATTTCTCCAGTCTGGTTTCTTGAGGGGTGTTGTTTGGTTTTGGTTTATCTTTGTGTGTCAGAGGGGGCAGGTATGTGGGTGTATAATAGGTTTATGCGTGTTTGTGTTTGTGTGTGTGTGTGTGTGTGTGTGTGTGTGTGTGCTTTCTTGTATGTAAGTCCAGGTGTGCCAGTGCCCCAGCATGCATATGAAGGTCAGAGAACAACTCTAACCCTAACCCTTCCACTTTGCTTGAGACAGGGTTCCTTTGTTGTCTCTCTGTGTATATGGCATCCTAGCTGGCCATGTAAACATCAGGGGATTTTCCCGACTCTGTCTCCCATCTTCTCATAAGAGATTCTGTATTCTTGCCTCTTTGGTACGTTAAGTACTCTGCACACTACCAAAAAAGAAATGTAAACATCAAGCCAGCCACAAACTCTTTGGTCTACATTCTGTCTTGCCAGCAAAATGCGCTAGGACAGTAGTGACACAAAGCTTGTGGGAGTTAACCAACCAATATCTGCTTAGGTGACCAAGAACCAGAGACTAGATAGTACAGGGATCTAGAGTAAAACAAATACCACTGGTCTGAAAAAAGAAAAGAAAAACAAACTGTGGGGCGTTTACCCACCACCCCCACAGCTTCCCAGAGTTTTCTTGAGTGCGAGCAGCAGGAAATATTAGATAGAAGGATTTATAGCGGAGAATCTTGTGGAGATAAACAGATAGAAAATAAAGGATAGCCTCGAGAGGGC